AGCCTCCTCATCCGCGGGATGTTGCCGGAGCGCTGAGCTGCGTGCTTGGCCGGGCGCTTCGAGGAATGGCTGCGGGTTTATTCTTTGGAAACCCTTTTAGCTGCCGAAAGGGGCGAGCTCAGCCCTGCCTGTTCGTTCCACCGGTGTCAGCTCTGCCCTGAGGAAGGGGCACCCTTCTGGCACAGCCTTCGTGGCTCTCGCCCCGCAGCAGCGTTTTGCCGGAAGATGTCCTGGAAAAGGCGGTGGCAGGAAGGGAGCTGCTGGCTCCCGGGAGGCTCCTGGTTATCGGTCGCTTGGTGGAGGCCGCAGCAGGGCTGTGCGGCCGCTCCCCGTGCATGGGAATCGCTGATATGCAGCGTCCCAGTCTGCCCAGCGCCCTGCTCGCACACGCCTTGCTGCTGCCTTGAGGTCCTGTTCCCCCGGAGCCCCGCGGTACGGGGCAGGGAAGTAGGACAGGGATGATGCTGTGAGCAGAGCACTTGCGAGAACTGGTTTGTGCTTTTTATGAAGAAGGTATGTTTTGTTTGGGTATTTTGTTTTGTTTTCCTTTGAGTGGCTGCTAGTAGGCTTTGGCTCTGGCTGTAGTCCCAGGGCAAAGGAATATATTCTTATATTTAATCGGAGGAGCTGGTCTTGCACGCTGGTGGAGATGGAAAAAATCCTGTGGACTTCAGTGTGAGCAGCTGTTGGAGTTTAGTTTTCCTTACAGCTATCTTGTTTATGGGAGGAAAAAAAAAAACAACCCTGTGCTTTTCCTCCCAGTCTGCAGATGACTTGGTTTGTTCTTCCAAACCGCTTTCCCAGGTGTTAGCAATGAGAATAAACCTTCCCTGTGTATCCCGGGCCTCTGTCTCAGCTCTGTTTCGTCTCCTTTCCCACGATAAGGGCCGAAGCGGTGCTCCAGCTGCGCTGGCGTGCCCGAGAACGGCCCAGGGCGTCCCGCTCTGCGCAGAGAGCTTGCTGCTGCTCCGAGCCCCTCCTCCAAGGCCTTTCTCCTCCTCTCCCAAACCCCAGCGTGCCTGGCTGCCGTACGTGGGCCGGCTGGAGGCCGAGCTTGTGCCGCTTTACCCAGCGGCTCCGTCTGCTCAGCTGCCTGGACGCTGACCAGGGTTAGACCAGTAAAGCTGGGAACGGCTGATGGCATCGGCAGCGCTTAACCTGCAGCCTGGGAGCTGCAGAAGCGCTTTCCGCGGCTGTTGCCGTGCAGAGGCTGCTGCCTGGGCTTCTGCCAGCTCAGTGATTGCATTACAAAGCCTCGTAATCCCGTTATTTTAGCCAGCAGGTCTGTATTTTTAGGCTACAGCTGTTAATCGTGGGAGTGAGGGGTACAGGAAAATGCAACCCGAGTTCTCCTGACCGTACTCCGTAGATTTCGGCCTGGACTGCTGCAGTTACAGGCTCTCTCCTCTCTCATGCAGACCTTAAAGTGAACCTGGGCCGCCGTGACCTCCTCTGCTTCGAGCTACCCCATAGAAAGCGCTTCAGCCTCCACCCTGGTGCCGCGTGTCACCTCGGTGCTGACCCCGGGGCCTGCTCCGTGTCGCAGACGCAGCATCGGAGGCCCCGGGGAGGACGGAACGCCGTCCTCCAGCAGAAGGACACGGCAGGCTGCGGGTCTGCTCGCTTCAATGTACGGAGGAAGGCCCAGCAGAGAGGGAGGAGGCAGCCTGGCTTCCCGGGGAGCTCAGCCTAAATGCGGGAAAACAGAACCTCCCTTCGGTCCAGCTGTCTGTCTGTCTGCGCTACAGCAGAGGCAGCTGGTGAGACAAACTCTCCTTCCCTACCCCCCTGCAGCTCGCTTCTAAATAACTGCACTGAGTTCCTGCCCAGAAAGCTTCTGTGTTGTTCCGATGAGTGGGTGGAAAGAGCAAGATCTGGGTGGATGCTTTTACAGTAATAGCTGAGCTATTTTAAGTAGGAAGAAATAATAAGGCAGAGTTAAGATTGTCACTGTATCAAATTTAAAAATTAAATAATCTTTTAATAAGAAACATTAGTTTGACAAAAAGAACTTCCATTAGCTAGCAGCATCACAGAGGCATTTCTCAAGGTTTGAGGAAGAACTCGGTTTCAAACTCAGGAACTGTCTAAAATGAAGGCTCTTCCCGAGCGCTGCAGCTGAGCTTCGCCTTGAGGGCAAGCACCAGACCCGGCTTCTCTGCTCCTGGCCCTCCTTCGCTGCCAGGGACAAGCGAGGTAAGGGGGGTGGTGCCGTGACGAAAAAAACC